TTTTCTATGGAAACTACTTGCTTACTTTAGAACGTTCGGAATGGGCCCGCTAGAAAGATTTGTTCAAAAGAGCCAGTTTTAAAATTGAAGTGGTAGGGTGTAAATGTAAATTGTCACTGGAAACATGTTTTAACAATAATTTTCAACTTTTTTCTTGAACTTTTCAACCGATCAACTTTAAACGAAGGTGCTACTCAAAATTTTGAAATGGGGATACCTGGACCAAAGGGGTGACTCATAAAATACAACCCACACTGATTTCAAATGTCCCCTTGATTAAATTACTTTTTCGGCAAAATTATTTTTTTACCACTAGAAATATCGGGGGTGGAAGGTTTGAAAATGAACCCATTATACCTATGAAGAGCAGAAGAAATAACGAAAAGAAAATGAACTCAACCCACCAAACCCACTAAAACAAAACTGTATACATAGAATACTCTGGTTATTTTACTATCCCTGGCAAGTTATATCTTGACGTTCTATACGCAAAATCCATTAAATCTAATATTCTATATTTGAAAAAATCAATTGCTTGCGGCCCCTACTAATATTTTAAATCTAGTTGCTTGGGGAGGAATTGCAGAATTTAAAAGCTAAATAATGCAAACATCTGCACCCAATGTTGCATTTAATTTCACCATAGTCTGTGGGAAAATAGCACCAGATAAAAATCTACTAAATAAAGTAGCTATAAAATATGATTTTGCTAAAGATGGTCATGCAGGAGAATAAATGCTGAACTTCGCTTGTCTAAAGTCTTGAAAATAGTACTGCGCGTAAGTGATTGTTTTTGAACAATCAGAACCATGGAATTGTTACCATAATATGAAAGATCTGCAATACTTTAATATTTCTCTACCAATTCTGTTACAAACACGTTTGCAAGTTACATGGAATCATAAATATGGCAGCTTTCTTCGGCCGCTTCATCTTTTTCTACGGTTTCCACAATTAACATGAAGAAGGCAAGGGCGGATCCAGGGGGGGGGTCATGGGGGTCATGATCCCCCTATTCAATGCTCTATCCAACGATGCCAAAACGAATTCTCTGGCTCGAATGGTTCTTGAGAAACTTCAAAAAAAGCAGCGTCATGTTCAAGTGGATTTTGCAGCTCAAAAAAACCACGCAAATCTAAAACTTCTTAAATTCAAGCATTTTTTGAGAAAACTGCCAACATTTCCTTATCTATGGTTCACTTTCTAAAAAGGCCATTTATTTCTTTCTAGAATGATGTACAAATGAGAGTTCTTGCTCATTTTTCCTCCGAGAAATGAGCAAAAACGGGACGGAAAACCTGAAATGTT